GGAACTTAGCCTCTCAATAACTCCACGCTACTTCCATAAAGATGGAGAGAATGATAGTACCTAACTTACAGGGGACTCTGAAAAGTAAGGAAAATAATCTGTGAAAAATTCCCAGTGCCTGTGATGTGGTCATACACAATCACTGCTGTTACAGTGACCATGCTGTAAACACCCCTGCACACATACAGAGAGCAAAGCCACGGAGCCTGTAGTTGAGGCACCCAGGAAGGGAAGAGAACATTTCAGTGATCGGGCATCCATCCCTGCATGAAGTGCAGAACACTGTGGATCAAAGAAGGGACAAAAGGATAGGGCATAAGATGTGCAGTTTCCAGCGATAAGTCGCCTGAAAGGTTCTTGCCCATCCACAGCTTAAGCTTCCTTCACCTGTGCTGAGCAAACCTCTCCCCACACACCTCTTGAAGTTTGAATTGAAACTATAGCATATAGGTATCTATTTCAGAAAGTCAGAGTACAAAATGTTGTACACTTAAGAATACTATAGGAGGTATGAGTAAAATAGTGTTTAATTTTTTTAATTATTACAGTAAAGGGCACATTGCCATCAGTCCTCCATGAAATACTCCCTCTAGTTTTAAACACACTCACCCCGTCATTTTTGCCACTTTTTGAAGCAGTTCTGTGCCTACAGCAGTGTCTTTGTTTGCACGGTTGTAGCTGCTGCCGTGTCCTGCACCTGTTCAAAACATTTACCTTTCACGGTCACCTTGACTTTAAGAGCCCGACATCACACAGTGCCAGATCCAGCGAATACAGTGGATGAGGACGCACGGTGATGTTTTTACGAGTGTGCCTTTCTGTTGACTGGCGCTCAGCAGCAGCATTCTCTGTATTTTTTTTATCACACCCTATGAAGACATGCATGAAAGAGGTCTTCCAGAATTACTTCAGAAAGTGGCAAGAATGACGGGATGTGTTTAAAGTAAGAGGGTGCTTTGAGGGGGATCAATGGCAGTGTGTCACTCACTGTAGGGATTTTGTTAAATTGAAACATTCACCGTATATTTCAATCACACCATGCCTCCTAAGTCTCCCTGCAGTTCATCCCGAAACCCTCAGAGACAGCCGTCCATTTGGAATTCCTTGTATGTCTTCCCAGACACATTCTAGACATGGGTGAGGACATTTTCATACACATACAGGATTGTGTTTTGCTTTTCCAAGTAATATATCTTTGAAAGCAAGATCCTGCTCTTATGGAGCTACTTTTTTTCCCCTTTAGTCTCATCCTTTTTAACATTTACTTAGTATTCTTGACATAGATTTAGCACCCACTATTTAACCAGCTCCTCTCCTCTGGAATTTAAGTTGTTTCCTATCTCTCATCGCTGTAAATGATTCTGTAATGAACTCCTACATACATGCCTTTTCCTAGGAGGTAGGAAACCCTCTCACCTCAGAGCTGGCGCCCCGAAGACCACCCTTGTGGTGCAGTATTAAAGCACAGGGGCAGAGCGGGGCATGGGGCACACGCCTGTAATCCCAGCCCTCTGAGAGGCCGAGACAAGAGGACCGCAGTTCAAGCTCAGCCTGGACAATTTAGTGACTTAGGGAAACCTGGCCAAAAAAAACCATCTACGGATGTAGCTCTGTGCAAAGGCCCTAGATTTGGGCCCTTGTATTTAACAAAAAAAACAGAGGCAGGAGAGGGGAAACCTGTGTGCTAGCCTTGGCTCTACCACCAACACCCTTTGCACCCAGACACAAATCTCCCCTCTGTGTGACTCAGGCAGCTGTAACTGCCTCACATGAATATCTGAGCCTCAGATGAGATAACACACAGGAAAGCCCGCAAGTGCTGTACCAATCGACAGGACTCCCCCTGGTTGCGGCCAGGCCTGCCCAGTCCTTTTCCACCAGAGCCGGAGCTGGGCTGGGCGCCTTCCATAGGCTGCCCAGTGCTGGCAAGAGGACTCTGCTGGGTCACTCTGATTCCCACCCTTGGAAAAGCTTACTGAGACACCACAAGTGACTCTGTCAGGACAAACACAAAGGCGTGGAGGGGGGCATGGGATCGTGGCCAGGGCCACGGCGACCCCTGGAAACTGGGGTTAAGACGAAGCTGAAACCTGAGAAAATGGGAATCTCATACACCACAGCTGCAAGGTGGGGAAGGGTCTCCGAGAAGGGAGCAGACACAAAGCGGGAGCCCCAAATTGGCTACATCACAGCAGTGACAAAGGACACAGGAAGTGGCTCCGGCCCTGGCTGCCGGTCCCTCGAACTGCCCTGAACCAGCACAGCTCCCACAGGCCCCAGCTGTCCCAGGTCCCTGCCGCCTGGCGCCCATGTACCTCGTCTCCCTCAGTCCCTGTCCCTTCGCTACACATCCCCTTTCTCTGAGCTCAGGGGTGCAGGAAGGGGCTCCATTCAGTGTCACAAGGGTAAACTGAGGCTCATGAGACCGAGCACCCCGGCTCCCTGAGGAGCTCCCAGAGGACAAGTTTGCGATCATGGCACCTTGGGAGAAATGAATGAGAATCCTCAACTTTTCTGCTTTGCTTACTGAATTAATGGAGCCTCCCAGGGAAAGGGCAGAGAGCAGAAATGAAAGACTGGATAATGATTAGGAGTTGAGACTTTGCCCAGCCCGATCCTCCCTCTTACTCAAGTCCCACCTACCCTTCCTGTCACCCCTTCCACCGAGCCCACCCCACCCGGCTCTTCCGGGCGCATCTCACCTCTTACCTCCTTTGGTACACGGCCTAACCGGCCCCAGATCTGTCCTTGTATCTGTACCTTCCATCCGAGTGCTTGCTGTTCCCCTAGCTAAAGGAGCAGAATACACTTCCCCATCCTTTAACTTTGGGTTTGACCATGTGGCTGGTTTGGGCCAATAGCATCAAACAGAAGTAATGGTGTACCCATCCCCTCCTCTTATGAGTCTTCCCTTGCTATGAAAAGAATGTGCCCAGGCTAGCCCGCTGTTCCCCAAAACAGGACACATGGGACAAAGCTGCCTCAGTCAAGCCCCCACCATCTAAGTCTCACCTAGATCAGCCAGCCTTCAGATTTCTGAGCTGTACAAATGTTTATTGTTGCTGGGCATAGTGTGCATCCCTGTGATCCTGGCTCTCAGCTGAGGCAGGAGGATTGCTGTGAGTTCAAGGCCAGCCTGGGCTACATAGAGAAAAAAAAATTTATTGTCGTATGCAATAGAGATTCTGTGGTTACTTGATATCAAACTAATACAACTACCCTTGACACTTACTGTACATTTCGGTGTTTGATGGTTTTTAACAAAAGATCATTTAATCATACAAAATTGTTTCTTTGAGTAGCTCTCTCCTAGTTATGACCACCAGATTTGACAAGTAAGAAAGACAGGTTTCCCATTTAAAACTGAATCTCAAATAAATGAAAAAAATTTTAGTAGAAAAGTGTCCTGTGCAAGTTTTAAACATATTTATGCAAAAAAATTATTTATCTAGAAGTCGATAACTGGGCACCCTGTATGTGTCTGACAAGGCTACCCCATGCCTGAAGCAGGTCACACATCTCCCACCATAGGTGTGAGACAGTTCACATGGTCAGGAGAGAAATGCCGTGGTTCGGTTACAGATCTACAAGAAGCACAGAAGGTAAGACTTGAACTCCTGCTTCTCTCCACCCCTTATACCAATAACAATGGTTACCCTTCGCTTAGTCCCTTTATGGAGAGACAGTGGGCTTAACACACCATCTTTTTTTTTTTTTTTTTTTTTTTTTTTTTTTTTGTCTTTTTGAGACAGTGTCTCGATATGCAGCTCAGGCTGGCCTTGAGCTCACTTTGTATCCCAGGTGGGTCTCAAACTCACAATGATCCTCCTGCCTCAGCCTCCCAAGTGCTGGGATTACAGGCGTGCGCTACCACACTGGGCTTAACACACCATCTTATTTTCACATTGCAGCTACCACATAGGGAAGTAGCTAAGTCATTAATTATCTCCATTCATAAAAGACAGCCCCGATCATCAGACAGGCTCAAACAACTTTCTCTCCATTACACAGCTAGGGGGAGCAGCAGAGCTAGAATTCAAAGACAGTCCTTTCTCTTTCCATAATAGGACCCTGCCTCCAACTACCAAAAGTGCTTTGCTGTGGGATGCCGGGTCATCCAGGTAAACATTATTTCTGAACATATCTTTCAGGGTGTGTCTGGAAGAGTTTAGCACTTGAATTCATGCACTTAGAAAAGCAGGTGGCCTTCTCCAGGGTGAGTGGGCTTCATCCAATCCATCCACGTCTTGAATCTACTGAAAAGCGGAGGAAGACTGAATTGGCTTTCTCAGCCTTATTAGCTGTGCTGACTCCTGGGACCTGTCCTGCCTTGGACTGGGGCTTACACCAAAAGTACTCCCGGCACTCAGGCTAGAAGGAATTCACACGGTCACTTTCCTGGACTCCAGCTTATCGACAGGAGCTTGAGGAGCCTTTCAGCCAATTTTCATCATAAAATTCATTTCTCTCTTGTTGCTTGTGTTTTCCAGGAGGACCACAATACAAGGCCTCTCCTTGTCTCTACATCGTCTCCTGTCTGTGCAGATCAGTGTGCAAATCTCTTCTCAGAAGGACATCAGAAACATTGGATTAGGACCCGCCCTACTGACCTCATTTTAACAATCACTTTTATAAAGATCCTGTTTCCAAATAAAGCCACGTTCTAAAGAACTGGGGTTTAGGACTTCAACACAGGGATAGAAGGGATGGCTGATTCAGCCATAACAAGCTTTGTGGAGCTAATTATGAGTCATTTCAGTACAATCTGCATTTAAGAGAACCCAAGGGAACGGATCTTCTACGGTGGGATTCTGAATCTCAAGTGAAAGGATAGTTTTCAAGCAGTCCTTAGGGAGGAGAAAGGCCCACTCCAATAGTACCTCAAAGGTATGTGTCACGCCCTCTACCTCAGCAACTGGCAGAATGTGGGTGATTGTGAGGACAGGGGATTGTGACAGCAGCCAGGCTGTGGAATACGATGAAGTCAAACATTACTGCCTTAAAAGATGTCCTCTGGCCCGGGTTGGCTGCACTGTGGCTTCCCGGATGGCAACAGAGGACAGGGAGGTGATGGAAGCCCGGGGGGCAGGAGAAAGTTGCCCCCCCTTCTCCAAGTTGGTGCCTGGTGACCCCACATCTGAAGGGAAGCCAAGGGTCATGTTGGTAAGCAGCAGCCCCATCTCAGGGCCCCCGCCCTTCTCCGGGGGAGCCAAGAGTGCTCCAGGGATGTGTGGTAGGAGCTGAGTGCTATGGGGTTCAGAGAGACACCAAGAAGAGCAGGACCAGGATCCACTTCCCATAACTAGCACCCAGCTCTCTCCAGGGCCAGGGGCCTTGCACAAACATGTAAGTTCACTTGAAGCTGGCTTTGGTCTCACTCAACTAGGGAAAGGGCCCCCGTCTGAGGCCCTTTCCTCCCCCACAGATAGGGACCCCCTCCCTACCCTTTTGGTTGGTCCCTGTATGTTTAGGTTCTTCTAATAGACTCTAGATTTCTTCCTCTCTCCATAGCCTCTGTGTCTTAACGTTAGCTAGAGGGGGACTTGGGAGCGTGATTTGATGTCAACAGAGATGGATCTCTCCTCCTGCCCCAGTGCCCAGCTTGTAACTCTAGATGCGCCCTTTTGTGGTAGCTGGTATTTTCCTCTGCAGCACTAGGGGTCAGAGACAGGCCTGCGCCTGTGCCTGGTCCCAGGTCCCCGGTCCCTGCCCAGGTGCCACCGGTGGGGAACCAGCCCCCTCCTCCAAACTTTCCCCACCCAGGCACCACTTGCAGTGCAAATGAGAACTAGTGACAGGGATACCGAGTTAGTTTACTGTAGGAGCAGCCCCAGGCTCCTGCCTCTCTGTAGGCAGAGGGGCCCGCCTCTGGTTCATCCTACTTTTATTCATCGAGACACGGGCACAAGTAATTAAAGTAACACAAGGTTCATCTGCCTCATATTATCCAGTAATACGTCCTCAGGTGAACAGTTTAATCTCCGCTGTATTGACTTTCTCCCCTTCGTGCTCACAGAGGAGGCCAGTTAGGCCTCAGTTAGAGCGGGGAGGGCTGAGTGCACTTCCCAAGACCCCAGGGCTGGATCTTCACAGTCGAGGGCTCATTCCAACATCCCAGGCCACTGTGCCTGGGAACTCTGGAGAGCAGTGGGGTGAGGGCCACCCCAGAGTGACTCCCCACTGTCCGCTCGCGTGCTCCAGGAGGCGGAGTCCCTGAAGCCAGACTCATCCTACAACTACCTGGAGGAGATGGACACCGGCGAGGACAGAGACAGCTGCCCGGGGCTCCCCAAGTCCGGTCCCACCCCCAAGGGCCAGGCGGGTGATGCGCCCCAGCCCACGGAACTGTCCCCAGCCCCAGGGACGGAGCACCCGGTCTCCGTGGAACTGGAGAAGCTGCGCATGGACTTCGAGCTGGTGCGGCTCAAGCACCTGCATGAGGAGAACGAGCGGCAGCGGCAGCACGAGGCGGTGATGGTGCAGCTGCAGCAGCAGACGGCACCAGGCCAGGTGGGTGAGGCGCGGCCCGCCTTCCCAGAGCTCCCTCGCCAAGCCGAGACCCGCCTGTCCAGGCCAGAAGGGCTCATGACAGCTCAGGGGACGAGTCTCCGTCATGCTCAACCCCTCTTTGCATCTCACAGAATGAGTCCCGCATCTGCACCAGTCCAGGCCCCCCTGCAGCCCAGTCCATGGGCGCCACAACCGCTGCCTCCCTGAGCAGGGCCGCCTTGGCTCTGTCGGGCCACACTGCCTGGTAGTCAACACAAACACCAGTCTTTCCGCAAGAAATGTTCCCGCAACCCCCGTGCATACTAAGCAGGGCTAAGAGTGCCTACTTGAAAGCTGGGTGTGATGATGGTGCACACCTGTAATCCTAGCACTCAGGAGGCTGAGGCAGGAGGATCACCATGAGGTTGAGACAAGCCTAGGCTAAGTAGTAAGTTCAAGGCCAGCCTGAACTGTACAGTGAGACCCCGTCTCAAACAAACAAACGAAGGCCCACTTGAGATGAAATGGGATGTAGAGTGTTTATTGCTGTGGTTGAAAGCAGCGTTTCCTAGATTTTAAATTCAGATAGTCTTGGGTTAACATACTAGCTCTCCTCCGGCTTAACACTGGGCCAGTCACTGACCACCAAGTCCTAGTTGGCACATGCCCACTTCCTACGGTGGCTGTGAGGGTCATGTGCGAGGATGCATGTAAAGCTCTCTGCAGCGAGCCCAGCACATTAGGTAAGCACTCAATAAATGGTGGCTATTCCCATTTTTATGTACTCATGCAATTTACTTCTTGACCCGGATGCAGCAAGCTACATTCATCACTTTTAATTGTATTGGGATGTAATGTATTAGCTCTGCTTCCCAGCTCTGAGTCACCCCCACTTCTGAGAAGCCGGCCGTCCATCCTTATCCAAGCCATTGCCATAAGGGTGGAGAAGGGTATGACCTAAAGTACATGCCACTGAAAAATCGCTCTACAGGTCAGCAGCGTTCCGTTAATCAACGCTCTGGAGTTACATTTTATGTTTCTCACATTATTGCAGCTTGGCCTAAACACTGTCCTGAGACACATTGTCAAGTGGCTTCCCAGAATTAAGATATTACGTTACCTACAGCGTGTCTCCTCTTGACTGGTCAATTTTTTTTTTTTTTTTTAAGAAAATAGACTTGGTTTTATTTGATTTGTTCTCAATGAGCACATGCTGGCTTCTTAACAATTACCCTCTCCCCTTCTTGCCCATAAAATACCTGCTTAATTAAACATTAAATGATGTCAGCCAAGTCAAACTTATTGGACTAGTATTTCCAGACTCTGTATTTTTCTTCCTCTTTTTGAGAATATAAAAAACATTTCCCGGTCTCCAAGATTCTGGCACATTCTCCAATATTTTTGAATTCTTATTCATTCCTTTTCCAATGCTTGGGTTTTCTCAATATCCGGGGTCACGAGTTGGAGCCTGAAACTATTTAAAGCAGGCATGGTATTAAACAATGCCTTTGGACTTCGTCTCCTCCTAATCATATTTATTTGCCCTTTTAGTTCGAAGATCTTTCTTCTTGCTGGATGAGATAGACGTCCTTGGCGGACAGTCCTGTACACCTTTTGTCTTCTGCTCAAAAGATAGAGCATTCAAAGTGTGTTCGAAAAGTCTCTAGAGGGATTCACAAATTATGTGTTATTATTAAAATCATAATTATGCCCCCTTCAGCATTTCAGACCAAAACACGTGCAGACTGCAGCGAGGTGGTAAGGTACATGGAGCTACTGTCTGGAGAGCACCATTCTACTGCCGAGAGAACAGACAGGTCCCCTCCTCGGGACTCTGACCTTCCTTGCTATTCATTTTAGAGAGACCAGAACAGGACTCATTATCTGTCCCTCATTATCTGTCTCTTAGTTGTATTAGCTGCCATCATATTTTATGTGGCTGTTCCAACAGTGGTTTGTCCAAGCCCCCAGCCTTGGGCAATAATATTACAAAAGTGTTTTATTTATGGTGCACGTACTTAAACAATGGAGAGTTGCCTGATTTTTGAAGCTTCCCCTCATTTGTTTTGAAGTGTGGAGGGGAGTGGGGGAAGGACGATAAATTTCACTGTAGTGAAAATACATCTTTGGTTTTTACCAGTATAGGGCATCACAGTCCGTGCTATCTGGCTGTTTTTAATTTTTTTTTTTTTTTTTTTTTTTTTTTTTGCTAATGGGAACCGAACTCAGGACCTTGCACTTTCCAGGCAGGCACTTGTGTCACTGAGCTATATCCCCAGCCCCTGGCTGTTTTTAAAAATGTGCTCAATTTTTTAAAAAAAGTTGAAGATAAACCGTGGTGCTAGGCATAGTGTCCCATGCCTGTAATTATAGCATCTGGGAAGCTGAGGCAGGAGGATCACTGAGTTCAAAGCCAACCTGGGCTACAAAGGAAGACCCTTGTCTCAACAAAAAACGATAAACTGTGGTTCACGCAGATGATTCCTCCAGACCAGTTTTATCAGCTTTTGCCTTATAGAGGGTAAACAGGACTGTATATCAAGGGTTTCTACCTCACTTAACAAGGAGAAAGATTTTCAAAGAGGGAAAATAAAAAATGCTACAGTTTAAACGGGCTCTGTCAGATCCCAGTTACATAGATTCCAGAAAAAAGTAACTCTGGGCAAGAACCAATCAGGTCATTCAAGCTATCCATAACTCTGGGCAAGAACCAATCAGATCATTCAAGCTATCCATAACTCTGGGCAAGAACCAATCAGATCATTCAAGCTATTCTCCCCCAAGCTCAAGGCTCTGTGGGATTTGGGAACCCACATCTCTAAGCACCTGCCCCCAGGAGATGCTTCACACCTTGCACTGAAGAGCCATGTGACAAAGGACCCAGCGGGTCAGAAACAGCCACCTGTGCCCAAGGCATGTCCTCTTATTGTGCCATTGTCCAGAAAGTGAGGTTGAGTGCTGGGGACACTGTCCGTAGAACATTCCCAAGACCCAAAGTCCAGTTCCAGGGATTTGGGGGACAGAGAAATTGCTCGGGTGTAACTCAGATGGGCAGTGAGACATAGGGAAAAAGGTGCTGGCCCGGTGCCCTAGCCCAGAGCACAAATGCAGGCTGGAGGTCTAGAAGGCAGTGAGCTCCCTCTACGTGCCAGCAACCTCACTAGAAACTTTTTCATTTATTTCTTCCCTCCGCCTCCTCATGGTCTTGTGAAGGGAGCACTACAACCGTTTTCCTTAGGGGAGGACAATAACCTGTCCAAGGTCACATTCAGGAAGGGATTGGGCAGGACTGAACACAGATCGTCTGATGCTGGTGGTGGCAGCTCCACTGTCTTCTTTCCCCTACAGTTCTCAGGTGGCCTCCAGGACCTCCTGCTGCCCCAGAACCAGTTTGCCATGTTCCTGTTCTGCTTCATCTTTGTACACATAATCTATGTCGTCAAGGAGATGGTCTTCTTCCTCTTCTCCAGGCACTACCTGTTCTGCATTGCCGCCATTTTGCTGTGTTTGATTAAAACTTTCTGGTCCTACTTCCAAGTGCCTTTGCTCTCTCCATCACTGGGAACCCCATGCTAGAGTATTATTAGGACTGATCCATGTAGGCGCCCAGCCTCCCTGGCTCCTCCTCCCCTCACACGGCACCTCCCTCCCATTGAAGTGTCCCCTTCAGCCAAGCTCCCCCATCAGCCATGAACACCTGAGTGTGAGCAAACACATCCAGGTCTCTTGCACCAAGCCTGCCTTGTTACTGTGGATGACCAAGCTTTACCCAGACAGAATTTCAGGAGGGACCTATAGGAAGGAAGAGTTCAGTAAACCTTTCCAGAATTACAGTATCACTCCATGACCAAGCTGGGTTGGGCTCTACCGTATCTATGCACATTCACAGATTTTCTCTGAGATGTAGAGGGTCTGTGGCAGCCTGGAAGGTAGCTCCTCCCACCAAAGATGTCCATGTCCCTGTCCCCACAATCATGAATATATTCCCTTACATGGCAACAGATACAATTAAAGACCCTGAGATGGAGAGAGGATCCTAGAATGCCAGGTGATCCCAATATAATAAATGCTATAAAGGGGGTACAGGAAGGTGAAGGGGGGGAGTAGCCATGGAAGCAGAGGTCAGAGTGATGTGGGGCCACAAGTCAAGGGATGCAGATAGTTACTGAGGCTGGAAAAGGCAAGAATCTGGATTCTCTCCCAGAGCTTCCAGAAGGGACCAGCTCTGCCAACCCATTTTAGGCTTCTGACCTCTAGAACTGTAATAGAATAAATATGTTGTTTCAAGCTGCCAAGTTCATGATAATTTGTTACAGCAGCAATAGGAGACTCCTACAGGAGCCAAGACTCCCTGGCTCTTTCCAGCTATACACACATGTCGGTCATCACGAGGCCACTGGCCGGGTCTGTTGACCACGTCCTGAGCAGCTCAGTACATAGATGGCCACGCAGTCCTGGTGCCTGCTTTCAGACAATGTCTGATTTAAAAGGAGAGACATAACCCAAGTGTGGTGGTGCACACCTGCCTTCCCAGTGCTTTTGGAAGCTGAGACAGGAGAATCACAGGTTTAAGCCCAGCCAGGGCAACTTAGCAACTTAGGGAGATCCTGTCTCAAAAAAAAGGGGGAATGTAGCTCAGTGCAGAGACTGTAGGTTCAATCCCCAGTACTGCCAAAGGGGAAGAGAACAAGAGCTGCTGGTGCCCTGGGATGCAAGCACAGGCTTCTTAGAACCTGCTGAGAAGGGGTGGCCCTGCCCGGAAGCAGCAGTGCATCCCTTGGTAAAACAGGTGGCAAACATCCTGAGGGGCATAAGGAAGAATTAAGCACCTGACTGGACCCCAAAAAAGTCATCAATGCTACTCTACTGGGAAAGTTAGAGGAGAAAAATATGTACATACTACACACACACAGCCCAACCCCCCCCCACCGGCTCTCCCGTGTCCATCTCCTAGCCCAAGCATGCAGACCCTCGCAACAATGCAGAAAAGCTAAATCAGAAACAAGTACGCAGACTTGCAGACTTACAGACAGACACACAGCAATAAATGGTTGTCCACAACAGAGATGGTGACAATCCCCAAAGACACATGTGCAACAATCAAAGAAACAGGCCGGGAGCCCCCAAGGGCCAGGAAGAGGCAAAATGTGGAGCTCCCCAGGGGACAAAGGAGTTTGAGTCCTTGCCACCAGCTCCCAACCCCTTCTCCACCGCATCCTGCAGACGCTCAGCAGCTCTGGAACCAGGCAGGGCACAGGAGGCTACACAGGGTGATACTGCAGGGAGCTGGGCCAGCGTGCTCTCAACCACCGCTGTATTGAGCCCACCTCTCCCCGAGCACAGGCTCTGCCCTAAGAGGGACGAGACCGTAAGTTTCCGTCCGGTTGTACCCTCCAAGTGCCGCTCAGTGGGAGCTTGTGAAACAAGAAAGGCTGCCTTGGGACTTCGCTGCCAGCTCACATTAGCATGCCATTTAAGTCCAAGGTGACTTCTTATTTTCCATCCAATTTAATGCATCCACCCCCACTTATAGCTGTGTGTGACAGGTGCTTAACTCAGACGCAGTAAAACTGTCACTTCTCATTAAACTTTCAATGATAGGGCTTTGGCCCTGGGTTACTTCTCAGAATCATCTTATTTGATTCAGGTTTTTGGCAGGGGATTGAGGGGAGAGAGAAAGAGGTCACCAGGATAGCACAATTTTAGCAGCCGCCTGTTTACCCGGTTATTGCAGGCATGTGGGCGCATGTATAAACAAAAGTGAGTGCTATCAGGTCATTTAGTCAATAGCTTTGTTGCCAGGTAAAAGTGGATTTGAATATTTTCTTTTTCCTTCAGAAAAATCTTCAGACAAGGATTGAGCAGTTAGCGCAGTATCTCACACCCTTAGCCACAGAGGTGAGCTCTCCCCATTCCCCTCCTATTATGTTTCAAGGCAGAAGCCGGGAGCCTGAGAAGTATCCTCTAGGAAAATGGTGACAATTCTTGCTTACTCCCCAAACAGTTCAGGTCTCCTGGTTGAAATGCAAAGCATAAAAATCAGGACTGCAGGAGCCATAAGGATAAGAAAAAGGCCAAGCAACGAAGGCCAACCAGGCAATGTGTCGACATACAAGCACCTCTTGAGCACCTCCACCACGCCAGGCACCACTCCGCTCAATGCTTCTGGAGGCCCTGTGCCCAAACCCTGGGGATCGAAACGTCTATTCCCCCCCCACACACACACACACACACACACAGAGGAGGGCACTGAGATTCAGCGACTCCAGAGTACATGCACTTTCCATGTTCCCAAAACCCTGCCTGGGAGGATCTCAGAACCTTGCCAGGAGGTGACTTTAACATACAGAAAACTGTGAAAGAATTGTCGGGCAATGGATCTCAGTTACCAAGGTCCAGGAAGGGGATGCCCCAGGGCGAGAGCTTCTTGGAAGGGCAGCCCGCCTGGGTAGTGAGCCTGGAATAGGTGCAAATGTGGAAGAATCACACGCACGCTAAGATAGGGTGGGAACTCAGGCTGTCCTCAGAGGAAAAGGGTCATCCTTGCTCCAGTGAATGGTGTAAAGAGCAAAAGGCCCAGAAAACTGGTTTGGGGCCTAGTTTTATAGTGTTTGGAATGTTAGTCTGGGGAAGATGAACTTAATCCCTTGGGAAATAAGCAACCCCTGAAGACGGTAGAGTGGGACAATAGCCAAAAGGATCCTCTTCCCCCTCTAATTTCTGGGGACCATGTTCTTGTGACTTTCTCTCATTTCCAGTCAAGAAACATTCTTTTTTTACAGTCCTGAGTTTGAGGAGTGCATTCAGCCGTCAAAGACTCCCAGCTGTGGTAGTTTAACCACGCAGAGCTTTGTGTTTCTTACACACCAAGAAGTCGCAGGTATCAGTACTGGCTGGGGAAACTTCTTGGAAATCACGCTGCGCTCGGGCTGCTCCTTGTTCCGCCACCCTTAGCACACCTCCTTTATGCTTACCTGACAGCCTCATTAGCTGAAGATGGCTCCCGCAGCCCCACACACCATGTCCATAACCCCAGGACAGGGCAGCGAGGGGAGAAATTCAGCTTCTTTCAAAAGGCTTTCCAAGGAGCGCTGCTGAAAGGGTTCTGCTGCACCTCATTGGTCAGACTGGGTCACATGGCTACTTCCGGCTGCAGGACTTCGGGGTTGGTGAGGTTTCTGCCTGGGCTCTGCTACAACCTTGAACAAAATTAGGGTTCTGCTAGTGTGTGATAGGGGAGACACCGAGTAAACCAATAACTGTGCCCACCATCCTTACTTTCATTTTTTAAAATTGTTTTTTGAGACAGGGTCTCACTAGGTACTACAGGTCAGCCTTGAACTTGCTATGTAGCCCAGGCAAGCCTCAAACTCATGATCCTCCTGCCTCAGCCTCCTGGCTAAAGGCCCAGCCCCACTCCTTTCCCAAGCTGCTGAGCCACAGAGCATTGGTGGAGCTGAGACAAGCAGTGGAGCACAGCTGTGTCTGCCATGGGGAAAGTACCACACGCCACAACTACACACCACAGGACGAGGTCGTGGCTTGCCCTGGACTCGCACCTGGAGCTTCCCGGCCTGCACCCCTCCTGACTGCTGCCTGCAGCCTCACGACCTCCCCCGCCAGGACTAGGCCTTGTCCGGGGTAGAAGTGCCCCTCTCTTTTCTGAGCACCTTCACCTGACTGCAAGAGGAAGCAAACTGGTGTCTAGAGCCTCCTGTCCTGCTCCCAGATCCCATAGATCAGCCCAGCACCAGTCAGGGCATCTGCTCAGCCTCCCAGTGCCCCGCCGCTGAAGACTGTGTACCAGACAGGACACATCACAGAGCTGCACTCAGCTTTGGCCCAAATAAGGAAGCACTGGTAGTAAGATGTCAGGCAGGCTTAGGGAGGAAAAGACACAAGTCCTGCCTGCTCCCCAAATGGTTTGCAGCCCCACGCTGAGGACGGGCTGGAGTTGGGAGACTGCCGGCATCCGCAGAAGGGCCAGGGGAGCCGGCTGGGTTCGGTTTAGCAGGTAACCTTAAGCAAGTCAGCCAAGCTCTCTGGGCTTCCCTCATTTGGGTGACCAGTAAATTACCTAGAGACTCACTCGGTGCAAAAATAAGGCAATAAATAAGGATTAAAGCCCAGGATCTAACTTAATTAGACTGGTGTCTGGCGGTGCCTTGCTCATCGTCAGAATGCCCGAGTTGATTCTAAATGCAGCAGGATTTAGAAAGCTAAATTCTTGCTCCTTAACATGAGGTGTGCAGACCTGCAGCATCAGACAGCGGGGAAGCCTTTTAGGGATGCAGCTTCCCAGGCCTCCCCCCAAATCAGGTGCATTTCGCCAAAATCCCCAGTGATTCTGCACTCAGGGTGGGTCACCTGCTCTGAGGGGACAGCCTGGCCCTCCGCTATGCTGGTCCTGCACTTGGCCCTCAGGGCCCGCAGAGCATAAGGGGCAAGACAGGCAGGGAAAACCAAAGGGCAGAGTGTGGTGCCTCGGAAGCGCTGTGGGAGTCCCCGTCAACACCTGGCTCAGGCGAGGGGAGGTAGGAGCGCGCTGTGTGACTTCAGGAAGTAGCGCCTGCCCC